CACGGGTGGTGAACTTTGAATCAGCTATGTATATCACCAAATAGTAATGTGATACAAGTTATACTGGATCAAGCAGATCCATACTAGCGACCTCAAGAGGACAAAAATGAATTAACAGCGTTTATAACGTGCGAGACAGATTAGAATGGCGCGTTGATAATCTTTATTCTTGCATTTAATAAAGAATAGTACATTTTATCGGCCATATTTCATGTTGAGCATAACTATTCGGTTAAATTTGAAACATTTGGATATAATTAAAGGAAGTGATAGATCTATGATAAAATAACAATCTATGAAAAATATAAGTTGGATATTTATTTTATAAGTACGAGTAGTACATAGTACATTAAGGATACTTCGGTAACTGGATACAAATGTTCTGTACAATGTTTTAATCACCTCAACACATCATAGACCTATTAAATGAGATACTCATTATAATTTCTAATAAGAACAAAACCAAATTTCGTAGGATGTGTTGATAAATGATTTTAAATTGTCTTAGATGCAAACTCTACTGGTTATTTTTCCCTTCTTATTTAGTATAAGATCATTTGCTAAAGCCTTGAAACGATACGATTGAATTTGTATGGGAGTCATAACTCCATATTTGCATGAAAACTCAAGTTATGTAAATCGAAAAGTAAAGAGAACTACAAAAAATCAATATCTGTTTGTGAGAATGTGAAATCAGATTTAGGTTTAACTTTATTCTGTTGTCTGTTATCATCATCTTAATCTTCCTTGTTAATCTATAACGTGTCTCAACTGGTTATTAGATCATTCATATACGAGTATATATATGTATAAGTATTTCAATGTGGATTGGTTGTTGTTAAGAACAAAGCTAAACAATGGTATCTATGCTCTGTCCACTACGTGTATCGAAACTCGAATTTTAGCCTCATAGGCCTGCAGATTTACCGGTGAGTCACTAGGGGGCATTTCACTGTGAATGAAGGATCTAAGTAAACATTGCAACATCACAGTCCCCCTACTAAGATTATACTTAGATGAAACACCTTCTGTAAAAATTTTACATATTAATATAATGATGCTTTTTCATCCATCTTTTAATCAAATATCAAATTTTGAATTTAACATTAACATCATGAAAGATTTCTTGAATATCGTTTCTCATAGCTTTTTCAATACTACTAAGATTACCAGGCAAATAGTAATGTTCTTCCCAATTATATATCGAATATTTGTTATCTGAAAGTACGCTTTTTTGCTAAAGATTTGGGAAAAAAAAGACTTAAATAAACTTTATTTGTTAAACTAAATACCGACAGCGAAACTATTAATATCATTCTGTTGTTGCAACACATAGACTTCACCCTAGTCTATATTATTAATTACATGATTCAGATATGATCTGATTGAATGGTTTTCCTTGGTTTCGCTAATTGAATACTTCATAGATGGATTAATTCTTTTGTGCATTTTACAAGATACTGATATCAGTAGTATCATGATATAAGTTCAACTGATACTAGCTCTCGGGTTTGGGAAACTTGAATTGCTCCACGAAATGATGAAATAGGAACTAATAAAAACGAATAAATAACCTTTAATATATCTAAGAATCAAGTTCAGTTTGAAAATATCGTGTTTCCCAACTGCTAGAGTATTATATATATCTAATATTATTATTTGATTTATTTTCGAGCCGAATGATCTAAATCGATTGGTGTTATGATACTACAAATTAACCACTTGAAAAAGAAGAGTACACATTCAGTGGAATAGAAATTATTTTTATGAACTGTTGGTGTTTTAGAATTCTCAGGAAATTTACTTAAGTATCGTGAAGATTTTCAATGAACTTTCAATTGCCTTCTTTGTTCAATACTGTATACATATATCCGTGTCAGTGTAAATTACTTGTACCTGATGATGACAAAACCTTGTCGAAACGTTGTAAATTTGCTGTTATGTTAAACTTATATTAAAGTTTTTCTTCATTACCAATTCAAGCCGTCTCCAGCCATTATTAGTCTCAAAGTGGGTTCCTCGTCACCGAAAGAGACCTTTAACGTTTGTGCACAGCCATCCTCAATTTAGAAATGTTCACCAGAAGGCAGGAAACCAGTTAGCAGCACCCGCCACCTATGAGTGTATTCTTAACCGAACAACGGGACTGAGTTTCACAGTAATAAATAGGCTGGGTGAGGCTTAATGGCTAACATGCCGGACTATCTAAGGGTCCTTTTTTAGCTTTGTGCTTAATAACAAACAATAACAACAATATGTATAT